GTTTTGGCACGGTAATAATCATAGCACTATCAGAAAACTCTTCTTTATCACAAAGATCAGTAGAACATTCATCATGTGACAAAGGTATCTCAATAGAAGGTTCTAGTCTAGCATTATTAGCATCATTGGTGGACAAATTCAGAACATCAAGAGAGCTCTTGCCGGAGACAATTACCTATTCTTTCCCTGTCACCTTGTCCTCTTTTTTAGATACATGCTGCACAATATTAGTTCCAACAAGATGCAAAGCAATATCTTCATTTTGTAAAAAATCAGATTTAGACGAAGGTATTGTAACATCTGAAATAACCCATTCTTTTCTAAAAGGCTCATTCTTTCTCGTCTCAGCCCTTAGGAAATCTTCTTTTAAAATTTGAGCGGTAGTCATAGGTATAAGTGTAATTTTTCTACCACTATATTTGAACGAATATTTATTAGCAATCGTATTGTGCACCACATTATTTTTAGATATCTAAGGCTTGCCTAGCAACAATTGACATGCTTGCATAGGTACTATGTCAAAATCTGCACTATCCTTATAAGCACCAAGGAAAAATTCAATACGTGCAATTTTAGTTACCTTTATCTTATCATAAGAATTTACCCATTGGATGTAGTATGGATGTGGGTGTGGTCTTGTGGTCAAAGCCAAGCTTCTCGACCAACCATCTCCATGGGGCGTGCTCCAACTTGGGCTAGGGTCCCAAGGGTGAACAACAAGCCAATGACGACGATGTAGCTCCTGGCAGAAACAATGGCAGCATGTCTTGATGATTTGGAGGCCTTGCCGATGTGATATTGAGGTGGCACCAGATCTATTTGAAAGCTTATCAAACAAGCTTTCCATCAAGTGCTCATTGACCTCATTCGCACTCTGGATGGATGAGTTATGGCCTTCCCAATGAAGCACTGTCGGGCTGCCGACGAACCGAATGTTAGACTTTGATGAGCTTGCACTTTGAGATTGGTGTTGTTCATGGCATAGCCATTCTCTATCATCATCACTTTTGTTCCTAAGCACATTTGACATGCCAATATTACTTAGCAACCAATTCTTAGTTTTATCATTATGCAAATGTAGGAACGAGCTTAACTTACGATCAAGCAATTAGACAACATCCAAAAGAAGATTAGACATTCCACAATCTCATGCAAAAGAGAATGCACAGCAATTAGCCATCTAGCTTCCTTTTGCTTCAGGTGCACAACGCTGGGCTTCCAGGAGTGGAATGATCTACTTTGCTTGTAGTGCACATCGCCGGACTATCTTGATGAGTAGGCTCCTTCTTCTTATCCTGCACAAGCTTGGCCTTGCCCCTCTTTCCTTTAGTTGACTTCTCTGCAGTTGGAAGCATGATTGCTAGGGCCATTGGTTCAAGTTGGTTGGAACCAGACCCTAACATCCTACAATAAGGACAATAGTGTGGTAGTTAGGGATAGTGAACATGTCTTCTCCATGTAGCTGAAAAGAAGTACAATCAGGTTACTTACTTGATTGAGATTGATGATGATGATGGTGTCCTCTTTTTCTTGGTAACAAGTGCAGCCAACTCAGTTGTTGTATCAGGAGGGAATGTCATTGTTTGTGCTCAATTCTCAATTCTGTTGTAGGTTCATTTGTTTTTCTCTTCTTTGATTTTGGAGGTCCTCTGCAACATTATTCAGTTTTCATTACAAGAATTAAAAAATATAGATTTACAAGAAATATAAATAGAGGATGCAAGAGTTATGAAGTTTGATAATACATAGCTGCAAGCATGGCAGCTTTGTCTTCTGGATCACCATCTTTGCAGGTCCACCAGTGGTGTCCATGTTGCTTGCAAATTGGACATTGGTGCCTCCCTTTTCTACCTTGGCCACCTTCGGCACTGCCCTTATGCCTCTGTGTCTTTCTCCTCCTAGAAGTTGATTTCAACAATGGTGGATGCATGAAGAAACCATGCTGAGACTCAAGCCACTGAGACTTGTCTGGCAAAGCTGGAATTACCTCCACATATGTTGATTTCAACATGTCAACTGAGAACTAGGAGTCCACATAATCCTGAAGATTGTGACCTCTAATAGAAGTGATTATAGCAATTGCATGATTGCAAGGCTTTCTTGAAACTTGCCACTCTCTGCATGTACAAGTTCTCTCCTTAAGGTTAATAGCATACCTGTAAAATAAAACCAGCAATGTAATTAGAATCTCTTAAAGATGTACATACAAATAGAAAGGATTCAGATTAATAACATACTTGTAACCTGAGCCACCCCTCCGTATCACCTCTCCAATGTCATCTGAACCTTCAAGCACATTCATATCCAAGTTTCCGCTCCTCTCCTTTAGGTTCTTCACAATATGGTGTAATATTTTGCCTTCCATCTTCCCTGCAATTTTCCTTCTTTTATTCCATTTGACCATGAGCTTTTTCCTGATCACATCCATAAGATCATCTAAGTTCCGATCTTTTTCACTCTTGATCCAGTGTTGAAGCTCTCAGCTAGATTGTTAGTAACATAATCTACCTTGGAGAGAGTTGAAAACTGGCTTCTGGTCCACAATTTGGTGTGATTTTGCCTTAGATACTTCACTACAGCAGGTTTAGCTTCAGCCATTGCATGCCAATGATTGTTAAAATAGTATGAATTCCAAGAATATGTAGCAGGCCACAAGTTCTTGTCAAATAGCTTCCCATGATACCTCTTTTTAAACTTACTAACTAAATGCACCATGCACTCCCTATGCTTTACATTTGGGAAAACAGCTGCTACACCTGCCATGATTGCTTGACCTGCATCTATACATATCGATAATCCTGGAGGTGTGCCTATAGCGTCCTTGAGTTGCTGAAAGAACCAATTCCAATTCTCAGCGGTCTTTGAGTCAAACACTCCAAGTCCAACTGGGTACATCCAGTTATGCCCATCTACTGCACAAGCAACTGCTAACTGACCCTTGAACTTGCCAGTCAAGAATGTGCTATCAGCAGCTAAATAGGGCCTACATCCTCTAAGAAACCATCGACACATGGTTTTAGTGCAGAAAACAGCCTTCTAAACCTAATCTTCTCCTTGATGGTATAGTGATGACAAAACTGCCAAGACATGCCTCTTCAACTGCTGCTTTGAATCTGTATAGGTTGTTGAAGCTTTTGTCCCAATCACAAAACAATTGTTTCAACACCAACTCTTTACCATAATAAACCCTTTTATATGACACAACAACTTTATGTTCATCTTTGATCCTTCTCTGCAGTTCCTTAGGTCCAATGCAAGCATCTTCCACTAACCAATCCTTAACCTTCTCACAAACCCAAAATTGTGTGGCTTGTTTCACTTTTCCACTCCTCCTGGTATTACCACATTTCAATAGAAGTTACAAGCAACATAATAGTAGACGACGTACCCGTCAATAACGAGACGTCTGTGATGACCCTATTAATATTGAGATCAGCTGACCCATTCTTTCAAAGATCCTCACAGGGGGTAGCAGGGTTCACATACATGTCTTCAGAGCAATGAGGGTTCGTTCGTGTTTGTGGAGGTCGATTCATTTATTATGAGATGTTAGCAGAAAAAATAAATACATTATTGATGATGGATTGCATGAAAAATATATTAACATGGCAATGCCCGACAAACGCACGGGCATATTTTTTTGTTCAACATATAAAACCTAATCCTCACATCCGCAAACACCCGTAAGTTTTGTCTCTCTCTCTCATACTGAGTTTTTATTTTGTCTTACTAGCCACCGTCGGCCATTTGACGAAACTTGTAGCCACGTAGGTACTAGTGGCGAGAGTCTTGCATTGTAGTAGTATAAATTAAGCCACTCGATCCTGGCATTACACCGAGCACGAACACAAATACACAAGCCAAATTATCAATAGCAGCTATGGCAGATAAAGTGGTTGTGGCTGTAGCCGTGGCTGTGCTGGTCGTCCTCTCCGTGTTGAAGTCATGGCTGTCTTCGAAGCCCAAGCCTCACCCATAGTTTGGCCAACGGGCCAGCCCGGCCCGGGCCCAAGCCAAGCACGGCCCGCAGGGGGTCGGGCTGGCACGGCGTGCCGTGCCTCCCGTGCCATGCCCCTCCGGGTCTCGTGCCTGGCCTTCGGTCCAAGCACGGCCCTACGGGGCAAAATCCGTGCCGTGCCAGCCTGGTAAGCACGGCCAAATCCACCGACTGATGCCATTAAAACACCTCAAGCTGCTTCTCTCATCCAACACTTCTCCATTTTAACGATCACATTTCACAATTCATTCACATTTCAGTATTTCACATTCACAAGTAATAAACTGATCATAGTCACAGATTCTCAATTCTAACAAAAGCCACCAAACGAGACAAGAGAATTAAAATAACTGAGCTATTTGTACAATGCTGTCTCTCATTAAAAACGTTTCTAGATAAAACTCACCCTTGTGAGAAACCCTAGAAAGGGAAAAGAGTGCAGCACAACTCTTAATAAGTCTTCCATCACTACAATAGATATGACCTTCTACGACGATTTTCTCATGACAATGGCTAAATTTGTCGCTAAGTCATTCTGTTTTACGACGTTTTTTGGTGGAAGTATGATTTTACGACGAAAATTATGTGTCCGTCACTAAGATCTAGTAGAAATCGTCGCAAACAGAGGGATTTCCATGTTACGACGAACTGCAATTTACCGCGGCATGCTAATAGACAATCATCATAATTTTTATTTAATTTTTCACAAGCTAAGCTCAACTCCACATACTATATTGTGAAGTTCAACTATACTGTGAAATTCAATTTCCCTATGTGGTTGGTCCACTGACTAGAAAAATATCTTTTCTGCTAGTTCAAATATTTTTTTATCGGCATTTACCCAAAAAAATTATATCAGGTAAAAATTAGTGCACAAGATCTCGTGTCGATGGAGCATATGCCCGAAATAGCACCTCCAGCCTCTCAAACTTTCATTCCGCGCGCATGCAACGAATCCTCCCGCGTGCAAAAACAAAGTCACGGGCAAAAAAAAAACTCCCACATGCCCCCTCCCCGGCTTCCCCCACACACCTTATCCGCAATTCCGCATGCCGCACGCAGGCCTCTCCGCCAGGCCCCCAGTGCCACCCGCCTCCCTCGTGCCGCAACTCGGCCAGCTAGCCGGCCGCCCGCTGCCTCCCACCCCTCACTGCCTAGGCCTCCTCGATGCTCGTGCCGCCCACCCTTCCCTCGCACCGCCAGCAGCTCCCTGACGCGGCGACCGGCGGGCTCACGAGGCAGCGGCGCGGATCTGGTGAAGGATCTACTCGGCGGCCGCAGGAGGCGGTGCGGATTAGTGTGGGAGGCGCCAGTCCCAGGCAGCTGCGGTGGTAATGTGGGACGGAGAGGCGACAGTGGTGGTGACAGTGTTGGTGGCGGCAGCGCTGATCCAGGAAGCGGTGGCGTGAGATGATGAGGCCGCGACAATGGCGACCGCCTTCGCCATCCACTATCGCGTGCTCGTCGCTGTTGTCGTGTTGCAGAACTGCGGGCGTGCGGGAACATGACACAGGTCCGATTCAGCTTCGCTGCGACTGCACGAGTAAGTTGGCTCTTCTTCCCTTGCAATCACTATATGTATGCATGCTCATTTTGTCCCATGTTGCAGGATTCAGTTACTCGACTTCCGTTCAATAGACGGGCCACAACAATTTTTTGAAACTGAATGATAGGCTGTTTTCAGGTTCAGTCAAACTGCATGTTTTGTCTGTGTTGAATTGATAAAGTTGCCTGAGGCAAAATGAAACAACAAAAATGGGTCGTCTAGATCATAACCAACGAACCAGTATGGAGTTAGTTACTCTTCGAAACAAAAAGGCCTTTTGCAAATGCTGCTGCGAGTTGCCATGTGAATTATGAATGACATTTGATTTCTGAGATATTAAAGTTAAAGTTATCCACATGCAGTCTGGTGCACCGTGCACCTGTTTCTGATAGAAGGGGCTTGATTTTAACATATCCACATCTCTGTTTGTCCAACCTTTTTTTCCAGTGTATAAAAATTAAAAACTCTATCTTAGCCATGCTTCTTTATTTCTCTTTGGCATATTATTGTTGCAGACATGAGGAAAATATTGTCTAAAAAATTCAGCATGCGGAATGACAGAGGCTGCATAGGAGAAATTTCATTGATAAAATTGATCCAAAAATCAAACACTTATGGTAACTCCTAACATTGAGTAATTTCATGTTCTGGTTGAAGTAAAGCCACCAACATATTGTTTTTCTCCTTTTGTTTACAATTGAATTGGCCACCTTTTCTGCAACTGTGTTAGTACCCTGCTTTCGTGCATATTTATTTATCTGTCATTTCAACAGTAGTAGAGATTTTTAGGATACTACACCATCTTCCATTCAATCACTTTGAGTTCATTTCTTTTTTTTTGGCTGCGTTTTTGTATATTTACGTATCTTATTTTGTGAAGACATCACATTACGGGGAATATCTCAATGTCTGGGTACTATGTCTGCCCATTGCGGCATATTGGTCTTGCAAGAAAGCCTAGATGCATGTTCTATGGAGGCACACACTTATGTATGATGTATACACATGTGTTAGTGTCATGCCCCTGTCATGTAGAATCTGAATTATTACCATGATCAAGTATGTTGATAACACCAATAAATTCGTCAGCTTATCAAAGTAGAAATATTCTGCTGATACATGTGCATTATTCTAGCAAGGTCTGGAAGGCAGCAGACGTGACTGGCGGCCAATCACTTAGCCTTGTACGACGTGCCACTATCCTCATCCCCCTGATTGCCTCACCACTTCAGCAGCATATCACCAATCTACATTAGCGAAAGGTAAGAGTCAGCTTACATGACTGATTAATTTGTGCCATTGCATAATTTCAACTTTTGCTAAACTGTGCCATCGTGGGGAAGCAGGAAACACGCACCAGCTGTGGCTATCCTGTAGTGGTTGATGAAGAGAGTGAATTAAGGTGCTAATGCTGATTTGTTGTTTTTTGTTTTGTTAGGTGCAAAGAAATCCTTGTATGGGCTCGAGGAGAGGATTGCCAGCCTCAGGGTTGCTGTTGCTTAGAAGAGAGCAGAGGTGGAGATGATGAAAAGGGAGCATAGATTGAGTTCAGTAGTAAAAGTGCAGGTAAGACGAAGTGTTGATTTTCTGAAGTTTTGAATTGTTGTTCTGTTCAGTGTACATTTTTTCAAGCAAAGAAGTTCTCGGAAATTAGTAGCTGCTATGACGTCCGTTTGTTCTTGTGACAGGTTGTCCAAAGCTTGCTCAAGTGGAATTATAAACTACAATGAGTCTCAGGTGGAAGAATGTTGACAAGATCAAGTTGGTAACCTATTCAAGCCATCTTGTGTCCTCCAGGTACTGAACTTGCAATGTCTCTCCAATTTTCTTATTCCATTTTGCTGAAGCTCTGTGCATATAATAACTGTGGGCTTAATTTCAGGATCGGGACTATGTGATTATGATAAAGCTAAAATAATACCTATTGAAGTTACATATGGATAGCGTAGTTAACAGTAGATGTGCTTTCTTGCTTTATATGGTCTAATCAATCCTTGAAATAGTGCTTATTCCAAATTACAATTTGGTCCAGATTGCTTAATAGTGAAATACAAGAATGTACTAAATTTTCTCAAACAGCAACAAAAGACTCCCCTACTCTTTTCTTCTACGGAACAAATTCAGCATGGATAAGCAGTAATATGCTCCACTTGTTTAGTTGTTTTATTATTGTCCCTGACATGGTTATATATAACAAGTACGGCCATTAGTTATAGAACTGAATAATAAAACAAGCTTGCTCTGTTTTCTTTATCTGTTGATCTTTCTGCCAAATGTCAATGACGAATGCCTTTCGAACTTTAGGCACAGATATTTCTTATTTGATTACTTGTAGTCTGTTACCCATACTAATGGATGTTTACAGCTTCCATTTTTTTCTTAATTCTACTTCATATGTATACAAACCATCGTGCTTAGACAAGCTAGAACATTAACTAAAACTTGTTGTCTAATTGAGGAAAATCGAATGACTTGGCTCTTTGGTGATATGTTCTGATCTCTATCGCAGGCTTCCACTAGGTAACCGGCTTCCGCTGATGGGTAAGCCTCTGCAGCTTGGTTTATTCGTGGCGAAAAAACACCATACATATAAGCAAACAGAAACTGCGTAGGCCTTTCTCTACCTGCTGCTAAGAGGTTGGCGTTGAAGGAACCTGCTACTATTTTAGTCAACTACCTCTTTTTTCATTATTAGGATGAACTCATTTAGTGCTTTGGATGCAAATTTGTACAAGTATTCTAAACTACTAGAAAATCAGTATGTAGTAATGAATTCAAGTCTGCCATTGCTTGAAATTTTTCCACATTTGTATGCTAATGCAAACTATTTTTCTTATCATGTTAGGATCAAATGGAAGCCATCAAGGCTCAGCCTGCTGAAGTTGTTGCTCAGGTTTTGCCATCAAGTAAATTTCTTCGAAATGTTGGCCTTGAGCCAACATTCGCTAAGAGAAGTGCTACTGCTGTTGCATGTGTACAAGAGTTGGAGATTGAAGTTGCGGCAGAGAAGCAAGTTGTTGCAGCACTTATAGATCAACTTCATGGCCAGCAGGATGAGTTGGATGTATTGAAGAAGGTGGTGGAGTCAGAGGAAGCAAGGGAGAAGTAGGCAGAAGTGATTGAAAATTTGAAGAAGCAAGCAGAGGAAACCAATACTCTTCTATGTCGATTGTTCATCTTGAACAAGGACTAGGTCACTCCTTACCTTTTCCTCAACATGGTTTGGATATGAGGTTGTTTATTTTCGTACTTAGCTTGGACTTGGATATGCGGTAATGGTTTGGATGTAGCTGTTTATTTTCGTAATGGCTTGGATATGTGGCTTCATATTTTGCTACTTGGTTGGACTTGGTAATGACATGGGCATGTGAGGTTTATGTATTTTGGGTGGAGTTTGACATGTGACAATTATTTGGACATGTAACTATGAATGAATTTGATTTGCCAACACTACTGCACAAACTTTACTGGAGGCAGGCGTTTTCGGTTTCCCGCGGCGGGCAAAGCCGTCCGCCGCGGCCTAGAGGCCACGGTAAATCGTGGCTTAACTGCAGCGGGCGGCTTTGCCCGCCGCGGTTAACCGATTTACCGCGGCGGGCGGTGTAACGTGCCCGCTGCGGTAAATATACTTTTACCACGGCGGGCACGTTACACCGCCCGCCGTGGTAAATTATTTTACCGCGGCAGACACCTTTTGTGGCCCGCCGCGGTTATGTTCATTAGCCGTGGCGGGGCTTTATTATTTGCCCGCCTCCGTAAATTATTTCCTGAATTAAAAAAAATACAGCAGGCATATAAATTCAAATTCAAATCATATCCAGATTTCACAGGTTAAACTTAAAAAATATGCAGGCATTACACATGAGATAATATACATATATATACATTCACTTAGTCCTTCTTGTCATCGTTAATTCATTACATTTACATATTAAAGTCGTTATACATGCACTAAGGTGTAATCCTGCGGATGCATCATCGTGGGCCATTTCCTCAGTCTCTCGTACTCCGGTAAAATCGCTAGCGGGCTGTTCTCATTGAAGAACGTGCCCCTTCAAGCACGCATTTGTCTAAGACAAACTTACATATGTCCGCCTTTGTCTGCTTGAAGCTGTGTTGGGTGCTCTGCACGTCTCTCGACCAGTTCAATCCATTCTTGAGCACCCTCCAACTGCTGCAGGACTGCTTGCACACCCTCAGGAACTCACAGACGTAGAAGCCACAGGTTTATGATCCTACCGGTTGTTTGGCACACTGCATGATCGATACACAAGCATTACAACATAGGCATTAGAACGCATATGAACGGAAAGCACAATTAAACCTTTAAAATACTTACCGGAAAGTTGCGTCTGATTTTGATGCGGTTCTTATGCTTAGCCTTAAAATTCTCTGTTCTTCGATCATAGCATTCAGGATCCTTCACGTACTCCTTATACGCGCTATACGAAATGTACCAGTATTAGGCAGGGCATTAAAACACATATGAGAAGACAGTTGAGTCACTTACACTCTGAGGCAATCTTCAAATGCCTTGTACCCTTTTAAGTTTGGCACTGTCAACGAATCAAATACGCAGGCCCTGCCATCCTGAGGGTAGATGATAAATGCAACCCAGTGACCCTCGAGGCTTGGCTGCGCCATTGAAATAAAATACAGGTTACGACGAGAAATAATAATACTAGCTAGCTACCCACTTATCTCTACAGGCATGTCTTCGACTTACCCAAAGTGGTAGGCAGCTAGGATACACCCATTTCCCCTGATCTTCTTCATTGCTCCTAGTATGTACCTTGAAATATTCAACTTCTCATTGTCCATCAGTTTCTTCCTATGCGCCTCTCTCTGTCGCTTGGTCAAGTCTTTCATGGTTGGATGATTGTCATCTAGGTGGTAACTAATGATGATTCTTTGAGCAATATGCATTGGAGATAGATAGATAACATCAAGTTTTAGTTCCTTGGATATATAGGCCATCAACCTGCAAGGACAAGCCATCGTGGCATATATAAGTAGTCTTGACCGATTCAAAGGCAGGTGATATGTGAAACTCACAATTCATCACTTACATAGAGAACAAGGTGACTTGGGCGATGTCAAGGTCTTGTTCCCGCAGTAGTCTGTACATGTCGTGGAAGTCCACGGGGAGTTCTACATCGTTGCCGGGCAAGTGGAAGTACTCCGCCACAACCTTGACTAGAAAACCATGCAGGCCAGCTTTTGCCGCTTCCATGTACCAGAGATGAAACCTCCTTGTCTCCCACCTTTCCTCGTCGACAAGCTGGGCCTTGGTTATCATGAACTTCCCATGCTCGTAATGCCCGGGGCAGTCATCCGATTCAAGAAATAGATGGAAAGGTGATCTCGGCCTGGGATAGAAATGTTAGTACCATATTATGGCAAAGAAAAGTTATTAGCAAATTATGCTCGCCGCTACCATACCTTGGTTATCATGAACTTCCCATGCTCGTAATGGCCACGGTAAATCGTATTAACCGCGGCGGGCGATTCATACCACCCGTCGCGGTAAATAACGATTTCCTACGGCGGGCAAGTAAGGTGGCCCGCCGCGGGCAAGTAAGGTGGCCCGCCGCGGTAAACCCTTTTCCCACAGCGGGCGCCTCGGTGGCCGGCCTCGTTGGCCGGCCACCGGTCAACCGTGGCGGGCAAAAGAGGTGCCCGCCACGGAGCCCATTTTGGCCACGCTGCGCAAATTGATTCCTGTAGTAGTGCAAGTAATGTAATGAAATCTGGCTATTTTCAGTTTGCTTCCTGGTTATAAATTGATTTTGTGGGCTGCAATATATTAAATCAGCACATTTTATGCAGTATTTTTTACGATGTTTTGTGATCCTAAGTGGCACCTGCATATACATCCATGGTTAATGGTTTGTGACGTTTCCTTCACTTGATAACGACGATAATCGAGTGTCGTAAATCAACGACGCCAGTAGGAACGTCGCAAAAATTACGACGAGAATATCAATTTTGTCGCAGAACACCTTTAGCTATAGGGCATAGGCGACGAACGCATTTTTGTCGCAGGTGCGTCGTAAATTGTAAAACACGACATTATTTTCAGTTTCTATGACATAAGTGCAATGTCTAAAAAGGTCATATCTCTTGTAGTGTGGGATGGCTGGCTTGGCGAAGAGAAGAGGAGAAGCGTGAGGGAGAAGGGGATCGGTTGCCGGCCTTGCGGAAGAAGAGGACCAAGGTCCAGGCTGGGCGCTGCCGTGCGACTCCGACCCTGTCGTCGCCGTGCGGGCATGCTCTGGCCCTGCTGCCACTGAGCGAGTGTGCTCTGGCCCAAGCCTCACCACGGCGACCTCGGCCTCTAACCCAACGGTGCAATCCGGCCCTATCATCGCCAGCCAAGGAGAGGAAAAGAGTAGCACGCAGTCGAGCTTGGCGGTGGAGGAGAGGAGGAAGTGGAGCGGCGCACGGTCGAGCGACGACGGAGGAGGCACGGGCCGCAGCGCTGGACATCGCCAAGCACAGGCAGTGCGTGCAGTCTGCGGTGGGCACGGGCCGGCCATCTAGTGAAGGGATAAGGATAAGGGGAAGAAAAAAATAATAAAAAAACTAATAAATAGGTCGTACATGTCAATGGGAAAGGAATAAGAAGCATGAGAAGAGACTGGCACGTAGGTCCCACCTGTCAGGTAGCTGATCCCACTTTTGATGTCTCTGGACCAAACAAAAAATTGGTAGATCCTATCCTTTGTCAACCAAACAGAAAATGAAGTCGTCCGGTCCTAAAAATTAGTGATAGGACCATCCCACTCCACCTTGTCTCCCAACAAATCGCTACCTAAGAGTGAATAATTTCCTTACCAATATTCTATGCTAGACAATTGCATGATATATAGCATTAACACCCAACACCCAGTCACCACTACCGGAAACAGTAGCTTTGTCGTGTGTTCTGGGCACACGGCAAAGCCTTTGCTGAGTGGGCACTCGGCACAAAAAGACTTGGCAAAGCTGTCTTTGCCGAGTGTTTTTTATCAAGCACTCGGTAAAGACTTTACCGAGTGCTAAAACCGACACTCAGCAAAGACTTTTCGAAAAATATAAAAAAAACGCCGCCCCCTCCGCCCGCGCCCCCCCCCTGTACCCTTGAGCATCAAACTGGAAGGGCCCTATAAATACGCAAACTAATAACAAATCAAACATAGGCAGCGAATAGCTTAGCTGAGTTACCTATCTCGTAGGCAAGGCCAGAGAAGCCGGAGCAGCCTGGGCCGCCGGACAGCCACGGCAGAAGCGGGTCCTCGTCTGGGTCGTTCTCCGAGCTCACGAAGTGGTAGAAGAGCTGCACGCCGTGCTGCTCCTCCACCTCCATGTACCAGTACCGCAACGCCGCCTGCACAGCCGCCAAACGCGCGTGCGCTCGCTCGGTGAGAAACTGAGAACTGAGAAGAGAACCGCGAGCGCGAACGAGAATGGGAGGGGTCGGCGTCACTCGGCGCAGCGTCTAGTCTAGTACATACCCGGTCTCGAGATAGAACGGGAGGGGGCATTTGAACCTGCGCATGCGCGTGACGACGTGGCCACTGCCGCCGGGAGGTGGACGACGAGGCTGCTGAGGAGGACGAGCCACGCCGACAGCCGCAGCCAACACTTCTTGCCGCCGTAGCTCCGCATGGCCGTCGACTGCTTGCCGCCGCGCGCGATATATAGGGAGGGGGCGCCGAAAGAGGGAGGGAGGGGAGGGGGCGGCGGCGCCGGGAGAGGGAGGGGAGGTCCGTGGGAGGGAGGGGGCGGCCGGGAGAGTTTATAAGGTCTGACACTCAGCAAATCCTTTTTTTTATTTTCCTTCTTTTTCTTCAATTCCACAGCGTATTTTTCTAAATTTGTTCTGATTTACTTTGAAGATAACTTTTCAAATTCACTCAACAATATATATTTGATTTTTCTACCAAAATTATTCTCTTATTTTATGAAGTTACAACTCAAATTTAATTTATATCAATTAAAATTCTATAATTACACTTAATAAATTAAAATTATCAAACGGATCAAAAAAATTACCAAAAATTCACATGAAACAATCTATGCTCTCTATTGCCTATACAAAAAGTTTTGAAGTCAAACCCCAATTCG